TTTTTTTTTTTTTTTTTTTTTTTTTTTTTTTTTTTTTTTTGATTGTGTCCAGACTTCTGCCCCATAGAGTGTGGTACTCTCTATGAAGGAGCTACATATGCGTTTCTTTGTTTTCTTTGAAATAATTGAATTCCATAGCACTGGGTTCAACTGTCTTGTGGCTATTTTTCCTCCTATATTTTTATTTTTCACATCGTGTTCGTCTCTACCATCTGCTGTTAGTGTGACTCCCAAATACTTATATTCTGTTTTACCTGTAATTATTCCTATACTAGTCTCTAAATCATGGGGCATACCTCCCACCACCATCTATTCAGTTTTTTGTAAATTTATTTCCGTCCCCCATTTTCCATACTCTTCTACTAATTTTCTGAACATTATTTTCTTAGTTACATCGTCATCTTCAGCCATTATCACCTGGTCATCTGCAAATAGACTAAACAATGTTTTATCAACTATTTTCACACCCATGCTTCTGCACTTTCTTTTCCATTCTTTTAGGGCTTTATCAATGTTTATCTTAAACAGGGTTGGAGATATACAGCAGCCTTGCCATAATCCTTTATTTACTGGGAAGTTGTCTGAGCTGTCTACCTCTGTAGGATAACCAAGCACCTGGAATGAGTTCACTTATAGCGGAAGGGAAATGTGAGCAACATGACATTTGGCGTAGCTGTTTCGAAGTTCTTCGGCAACCGAGTTATGCACACGCATACATTCAATCTTGTACAAAGAGCGTCAATTGTGTCAGGGGGCGGACACTCCAACGTAGAGTTGACGTCGTCGTGCATCTGACGAAATACTTTTACTAAACTCTTAATATGTCCTCCATACAGACAAAACGAGATGTTTTGATAATTGGTATATTTTACTAATGTGATTACTAACAATGCACTAATAAATCAAGCAAGATTTGTAACATATAACTATGATTCTCAATATAATCTTCAATGACTGACAACCGGTATCATTATAATATTTTTTAAAAATAGTAACTTATTACAAATCCCTAATATAAGAAATGTTTTGTAAAAAATACAATCGCATGAACCTCGGAGTCAAATTTTTAATGAATCTCTGCAATGGCTTGTGCATTTTTCTACACATTCTTTAATGTGCATTTATTGGAATTATAAATATAATACTTAATTAT